TTTTTTCTAGTCTCTGACAGAGTAACAATCTCTAGCATGAGCTCAAGCAAAGCCCTAGCTGAAAAATATCTTATCCAATAAATCTACGTGGATTATACAGATTATTCATTTTTAATGTGACCCAATCAAGTTACTTTGTGCTAATTTGGCTCCTGTTCCTAAAAAGGCCGACAGACAGTGCTTGCCAGATCCCACCCAAATTACAGTGCCCTGCTGTGAGGAGGCCACATGGGATATGCCTTGCACAAAAGAGCTTCGGTCCCCTGTAAGCGCCAGCCAGCCTGGCCAATGGGTAGGGATTCGAGGTGGGGGCATTCATATACAAATACGAATACCCCGCACAGGTGGCGTCACTGATCCGCCGTGGACAGCATGATTCCACCAGTGGCTCTGCAGCACACGATCCACTCACTACTCCTGGCAGAAGGTGGGAGGACAAGCCTCGCTGCCAGGTCGAAGAGCGCCGAGCGGATCACGTGCTGCGGAGCCACTGGTAGAATCGCACCGTCCACGGCAGATCGGTGAATGGACCGTGTGGCCCCATGGGGCAGGACCCTCATTAACGCCACCTGTGCAGGTGGCATTAACGAGGATGAATGCCACCTCTAGTAAGGATTACAGTGGTGCCTCGCTTAACGAGGATAATCCATTCCAGCGAAATCCCTGTAGAGCGAAATCCTCGTTAAGCGAAATAAAAAAAGCCCATTGAAACGCACTGAAAACCGTTTAATGCATTCCAATGAGCTACATACCTGCTCGTCCAGCAAAATCTTCCATAGGGCGGCCATTTTTTGGTGCCTGTACAGCGAAAAAGCCTTCCTAAAAACAGCGGGGAGCCATTTTCTTCAGCCGGCGGCCATTTTGAAACCCGACAATCAGCTGTTTGCTGATCATCGTAAAGCTTAAATCAGTTCCCGAAGCAGGGAACCGATCATCGTGAAAGAAAAAAAACCCATTTAAACCATTGTTTTGTGATCGCAAAAGCGATCGTAAAAAAACTAATCGTACAGCGTTTTCCTCGTCTAATGAGGTAATCATTAAGTGAGGCACCACTGTATATGACGTATTGTCCCAGGCAGATCGTGGGAGAACACCAGACTGCTCACCCCAGAAACAATGGGCCATGGACAAGGCCTCCCCCATGTGATCACAACTATCAGTGAGAGGAGGAAGAGCCTTTGGGGGGGGGAGAAGGTAGGAAGGATGCCCCAAACCTGTGGGACAACAGGATCTGGGCTTGAGGCTGATGTTTGTCTTCCAGGTTCAGAGCTCATAAGCCCCTGAAGGTCAGCCAACAAGGAAAACTAGACACCGAAAAACGGCTCAACTCACCTGTTCCTGAAATTGCTCTTGTGACAAGCAGTCAATCAGGTCCACACACCCCAGGAGGCAGCCAGAGGGATAATTTGGGGGGAATTCCACATCTGTGACAAGCAGGAGAGAAAACATGAGATGCAAGGCCTCGCCATGCCTCGCGGGCTCTAAACGAGCCTTCGAGAGCCACAAGAGTGCTTTCTCCCGTTAATGCCATGATTGGGAGAACGTCTAGGCTTCCCTAGGAAAACCTTGTCTGGTTACAGTTCTGTGCTGGACAGATGCCTCACTCCCACAGCCCTCCAGAAAGCAGACCTAACAGATCCTCTTGATCAAAGAAGTGGAGGGTGGGGAGGGGAGAAAAACCCCTGCGCGTTATTTTTTTAAGGCTTCTTGCAGGTTTGATGAGCACATTCTGAATTCTAGTCTTCTCCCTACGAAAAGCTACATTTTGGCACTCTCTCTTGGTGATTCTATTTCCTATACATGCTCCTTTTAAATCTTGGCGCTTCTGAAAGCTTAGTGAGCCTATACTGCTTGTCAAACTCCAAGTATCTAGCACGATGCACAACGAAGACTTTAAAGAGCACAATCTATACTGGAAGAAATCCTCATTACTTAGTGGGCTTGAGGTATTTCATTACCACCCCCAAATGAACATCTGAAATGTTGATCCGGCACACCGTATCTCTGACCTTCCCACCTTAACAAGAGTGCCTTAGATGACAGCAGAGGTGGGAGCTGCTGTTTCTCAGACAGTGCCACAGGCTGGAACTTAATCTGACGGATGACCTTTACATCTGAATGCAAGCAAGGGCACACATAACTGTCACGCTCAAGAATGAGGCCGATTTTCCTCATGCCTAGGTGCCTAAGCACTTATTCCTAGTTACATTGCTCCGTACAGCTTTCTTCTAGCTTTACGACCCAGGGCATCTTGCATGACAGGGAAATTAAACACTTTTTTTGGACAAGGATTCCCAGAATCCCCAAGCCAAGATGGTCAGTGGTCATGTAGGTTGGGGAGGGGATGGATGACGGGAGTCATAGTTTAAAAAAACAACCTGTTGCAAGAACCTGGAATCAAACCACTGCAGGAAAGGGAGCATTGCCAGCGGCTCCCACAACAGCACCGTGGAGTGTCACCGCAAAACCTTAAGACGCACCTTTCTGGAGCAGAATTCGGTAGGAGGCCTCCAGCTCAGTGATTTCCTGAGGGGACGGCCTTTTGGCTGTGGCGGCGATCCACAGTCGGCCTCTATGCGATGTGTACCACGTCCTGCCTTCGACCCTGGAAAGAAAGCAGGGGACCCATGAGGGCCAAACACTGATCCAGCATCCAGGAGGTGTTCTTTATTTACTTATTTATTGGAAATATTTTTTTTTGTATCCTGCCTTTCTCCTTTTAAAAAGGACAAGACTTGCCAGGAATCCCTTCAATGGCCATTTCTTTACCTCGGCTTCACGCCCTTGGGAGAAGAAAGCACCTTCCACCCCAAAACAGGTGTGTGTTGGGGTTTTTTGCAACAGAGATGGGACTTGAAGACTGAATCTTCCTATTAACCACCAGACACGATGTTTTTAAAGCCAGGGATGAAGCCATCTGCGCCCCATCTGTGGCTCCTGGCCATTCCCTGTGGGCTGCCTGCCCAGCTTGGGGATGCTCCAGCTCTAGGCCCCTCCCGGCCGATCAACCTCCCCCCCCCAAAGAAGTGGAAAACGGATCACGCTGGGCTACGATCCCTTCTCCAGCCTTTCTCCACCGATGCCTCTTAACTGCGGAGAGCTATCTCCCGGCTGATGCTAAAACACAGGGTGATCTGTATCAGGGCTCCTGGGATGCCCAGGCATATAAAGGGCATATGCATGGGCAGAGCCCTGGACCCAGCAGCCCAGAAGGCTTTCAAAGCAGATTAACATTCCCCCTAACACTGCTGTCCAAGGTGAAGCGACACAGCCATGTTGCCTGGAAGCGTCTCCTCTCTGGCCAGAGAAAGAGAAGGAAAACAGCACCATCTAGTGCAGGACGGCGTGATATCTGCTTCTGCAGCCGCCTCCGCTGCAACTTTAAAACAAGAGCTCTTTCCTGGCCTTACCTCTAGAGACGCGCCTGACCAAATCCATCTTGCCGTGAACTTTTGGACTTTTAAGGTCTTCACACTGGCACACGCTCGACAAAGTGGTCCTGACGCACAAAAGCTCCCCCAATGGCCATTTCTATCCATTCTACAGTCCGCCGCCCCCCCCCTGCATAGAAAAGGAGCCTGGTTGTCTCTCTGCCTTGAATTGCCATTTGACCTGTAGTGGCCGTGCTAGTGAAACCGATCCCAGGAAACAAGAAAACACAGTTTTCTCTTTTCCATTTCTTTCAAGCTGGATGAGGAGAAAACAGGTTCAAGCTGAATCCTGAGAACGCAGACTTGTCAAAGGCTGACAGACATGGGCGAGTGCGGTTGGGAGTGTCGCCGCTCCTCACAAGAGGCAGGAGGACAAGCCTTGCTGCCAGGTCAGAGAGGGGCGAGCAGATTGCGCACCGTAGATCCATTGGTAGAATCACACGGTCCGTGTCGGATTGGTGAGTGGACCATCCGGCCCCATGGGGCTGGACCTTTGTTAAGGCCGCCTGTGCGAGGGTATTTGCATTCGTATACGAATACCCCCATCTCTAATGGGGAACCTTTGGCCTTCCCGTTGTTTCAGAGCACAACTTGTTATGATTTGAGGAGCCATGGGGGTTCTGAGAATTAAAGTCCAAAACATTTAGAAAGCCGAGGCTCCCCCTTTTCTGCTTTCAGAAGATTCTTCAGGGCCTCGAATACCATGTATCCAGAAGGTGTTTCCGTGCAGTGTTTCCAGAAATTCTCAGGACTACATCAAGAAACTGTTGTTGTTTTTTTGGACAGGCTACAGAGCGTCGATACAGGTCATCCTGGCTGGAGGATTTTGCCACTTAACAGTCCAAGAATGCAACCTTTCCAAACTTTCAAAATTAAAGCAAGAAAGGAAAAAGCAAAGTGTGCTGCTTATATACCATCCTACAGCACTTAGAAGTGCTCACTGAGCAGTTTACAACTTAATTATGCAAGCTACACATTGCCTGCTCCAGCAAACTGGGAACTGAATTTACCAACCTTGGAAGGATGGAAGGTTGAGTCAACCAGCCTCCAGCCAGTGACCTGTGACTGAACCTAGGTCCCAAGCAGAGATTTGGCTATAGTACTGCAGTTTAAACACTGAGCCATGAGGTTCCTACTAGCAGAATTCAGCTTCTGAGTGAACCACGGCACTTGATTGCGGGAACAAAATAATATTCATACCCTGCAGATCTGCCCTAAGAACACGAAGATTCCTTCAAAACACACACCCAAGATTCCACCTACGCCCACCTTCCGGGGCTTCTTGATCCCTGCCATTTGCTTACCGTTTGACTCCACTGACCAGCAAGGAGGCCCAAGGCTGATGCAAGCTAAGGCACCAGCCGTCATCCGAGATCTCCTGTATCTCTCGGTCCTGAACCCGTAATCGGCTTCTTTCCAAGTTGTCCTCACTTTCAGTCTCTGCAGGAGGGCCAGTTTTTCTGCGTGGGAGCAAACCAGTTTGGTCTACCCACTTCAACATTTGGAAAACGAGAAGACAAAAACAAAACAAAACAGAAAACATCACATCACAGAAGGTTAACATTTTCCCACTTAAACTAAACTTGCAAAGCAGGTGTGACACTGTACATTGCCTCAAATGTTCTTTAACTGGTGGATCCCAGGTATCTCTACTCTATGTCACATTTGCTTCGTGAAGCAAAGAAGGGAAGCCACTTGATCCAGTTATATAACATCAGACCAGCAGCCGGAGGGAAGCCAGTCACAAATGTCCTGAGTCTTAAGCAGGCCTTTCTAGACTACTCCCCACACAAACACAAACACAAAAGAGGAGGGGAAGAATGGAAGGCTACAACCCCGAGGTAGCTCATGACTTGGGTAACAGTGACAGAAAATCTGTCTCTAATGACACATCGCCTGTGTCCGTATGAGGAGGAGATGGAGAAATTCTGTGCACCTTTGCAGGAGAGGACGGTGGGGAAGGTGCTGAGGTAGAAACAGCCAACTGAATTTACCAACTCCTTTCCCCCCAAAGAGAGAAAGAGAGAGAGAGAGAAAGAGAGAGACAGAGAGAGAGAGAGACAGAGAGAGATCACATCACACCCACTGGAGAAGCACATTGACCCCGATTATTTTTAGAAAATTAAGCCCAGTTTCCCACGCTTACTCGAGAGTCATACAAGACCCCTAGAGAGTTCATGGAAATCAAGAGAACTTTCCTTTGCATCTGTAACCACCGTTGCAAAGAAAATAATGCCTTCTGCCGCTTTGGGTTTGTTCATTCTTGCCTACTTAAATTTCCAACTAACAATGCTGTTAATTATGTTGCAGTTTAAATATAATTTTGATGATTACCTGCCCCTTTGGGGGCCTTTTGCCAAAAAAACACAGCTCCAAAATAAACATAGCGTTTTACGTTTCCCAAGCAGGCAGGAAACAGAGGGGGCAACACACACTCAGCCCATGGTGATAATTGAAAGAATTTGCCTTTCAATGTACGGAGGGTCACAGATTGCCCAATCCTGATCGAGACTATTTTGTCACGGAAGGGAAGGTACTGACCACGGGGGCTGCTTCAGGCAGGCTTGGATTCACCAGGACTCTACGTTCTTCACATTTCCCTTCAAGACTCTGCTTTGGCTTGACCAAAGCGCCACTGTGGATAGCTTCGACTGTTTCATCCAATCTATAAGGAAAACAGATTGGTTTTATGTCATTTCCTACCAACCCTCTCCACAGGCACCTACTTCAGTCAAAAACGCTGCTCCAGGCTTCTCTAAGCTACTGTACTACATACATTGTCAATGCACGAAAGGTCTTCCATCAGTAGTCTTAAAAATATATTTGAAAGGGGGAAAAGAAAAAGGGAAATGTGGGAAACTTCTGCTTAAAGGCTGTAGCTGCATTCTGTTCCAGTGACGTGCAGACACTCCTGGCAGGAAGCGGCAGCTGCCAGCAGGCGGGGTAACCCCCCCTTCTGCCCTTTCGCTTAGAGGTAGAGCATAAGATCAAAGGGTTATTTCAGCCAATCCTGGTTATGATTAAGTAACTGGTATCCTATCTGTCTCTCTCACAACATACTGTGTAAATCATGCTAAGCCAATAAAAGAGCTCTCAGGGTGTTGCAAGTAGGCTCCGCTGGCTCGGACATCCGTGGTCAACTCCTCTGTTCTTTCTCTAAGGCAATTGGCCTTACTTTGTTCTGTGATCACCCACAGAGAAAGAATTGGAAGGTAAGACCACTGCAAATGTTTTATCTCTGAAATGCATTATTTAAGAATACCATGCTGGTGTGTGTGTGTGGGGGGGGGGAGAGACCAGTTATTGTTTCACTATTTGGATTTTTCCTCTGCTTCACACTGCAATCTGCATGCATGAGACGAGGACTCTTGGAAAAACCCCTACCGCAGAGCTGCGCTTCCTACGAGGCATGGATCATTCCCCATGGGGGACAAGGGCCAAGAAAGCACAGTCGCAGGAGCTCTGTCTGCAAGGATGAGGACTCAAGCTGCGGGATGTGCTGTCAATTCGAACTGAAGTCACACCGGCAACTCGACTTGGGTGGTATTTTCCCCAGTGATTCAGACTCAACTTGCAACTCAGAATCCACCAACCCTCCTTTTCTTCTGGGGAATGAGCTCTGTCTGCAGGGATGAGGACTCGAGCCGCGGGATGTGCTGTCAATTCGAACTGAAGTCACACCGGCAACTCGACTTGGGTGGTATTTTCCCCAGTGATTCAGACTCAACTTGCAACTCAGAATCCCCCACCCCTCCTTTTTTCCTGGAGAATAAAGCTTGTTTTTAATAGGGACTCGGGTTTGGAGTTTGGGACTTAATACTAAAGACTTTCGCTTGTTTTTAATAGGGACTCGGGCTTGGAGTTTGGAACTCGGGACTTGGTACCAAAGACTCTGATTCGAACTTGGTATCAAAGACCCAGACTCAGATTTGGGACTCAGACCCAAAGACTTGCCAACATCCCTGTCCATCTGTCAGTACCTTCCCCAAAGACACTTTGTTCTTGTTCATGCTGTTTGTGCAGCTGACTGTAATGTCACAGAAAAAAAAGAACAAGGAAAACCATACTTATTATTAGGATTTCTATGACATGTCACGTTTTCTGTGCAGCCTACATTTGAACCCATAAGCAAGTTCAAACATGTTTTATGAGTCACCTGGCCGTTCTCACCAGATGATCTATTCAAACCCACCTGTAAACTTAAAACACAGGTTGCAGAAAAAAATACGACATGTCATAGAAATCCTCCCCTTACTTTTTATGACTGAATTATTGGAAGCTTAGAAACTCCCATTTCCCTCCCCAAAAGGGGGCGAGGGAGAAGTAGAGAGAAAATTCCACCCTCCCAATCATGCAATTGCTTCTGCTCAAAACTGAGCAGCTGTACGCCCGCCGTGCTTTCCTCCTCGCCAGCCACCTGAACCGGGTGCCCTGCGCCGACAATACCCACTTGCTGTGATATTCTGCCATACTGGTTTGCTCCTCGAGGATCTGCCGTCCAGCAAAGTCAATAGTGATCTTCCTGGAGAGCCGTGATGCGTGGCGCAGCTCCCGCAGCTCTTTCTCCCGCTTCTCCAGGGCTTCCCTTTCCTGCTTAGAGAGCCACTGGTTGGAATCCGTAGCAAAATAATCCGACTCGTCATCGATCACTTGAGTTCGACGTACACTGGCAAATGGAATGGAAGACGGGTACCCAAGAGCCCCACGGAACACAGGGTTAGCAGAGGTGGCATTGCCGTATACTAGAGGTCCCCAACCCCCAGTCCGCAGACCAGTCCCAGTCCATGGCCTTGGAAGGACCGGACTGCCGGGAAAGATGAGTGGCGAGCAGGAGGGGAGTGGCTCGTTTTAATATTGTAACTCCCCTGGGTCCTCTGGAGGAGAAAGAGGAAGTATAACTATTTTTAACAAATAAATAGCAAATAAGCAACTCAATTAGTCACATACCTAGTTTTGTCATACTCCAACAGTTTGTCTTTGTGTTTCACCGCCATCTCCAGCCCTGCTTTCAGTTGAGCCTCCTGACGGGGAAGCAAATCCTTTCCGCTGGCATCTACTTTCCCCGAATTCTCGATGCCTGCACATTTGGAGAGCCAGAAGTCGTCATAAAGAATCCAGAAGATTATCACAGAATGAGATTTCATGTACTGTAGCCCACTTCGTAGGCCATTGGAGCAGCATCCAGAGGTTCCAATGTGTATAACCAAGGCACAGCTGGGCATGGAATTGTAAACCATAAAGAAAACTAAAGTATCGAGTGGTTATATTCACTGGCTGATCTGGCCACTCTTATGGCAAGTGGTTGTATACAGTGCATACCCAGTAGTGTTATGAAAACTTAATTCCGCTTGAATCCTACAGAAGCAACATCACAAGTTGCCAGAAATGTGTTGGCCAACAGCCCACTGATGTTAATTTGAAAACCCTTGTCTCTCTTCTGATCCAAGCCTTCATTAGCAACATCACAAGTTGCCAGAAATGTGTTGGCTAACATCCCACTGATGTTAATTTGAAAAACCTTGTCTCTCTTCTGATCCAAGCCTTCATTTGCAAACAGCTTTTTTTACCTTTCAGTACCATACCCAGAGGATCTCCTCCACAATATATATCTATATATCTATATATATTGGCAAGATACCTTCCCCTTCCAGGCTGGGATAATTGGCCCTCGAAAGAGATTTTGTGGAAGAGATCCTCTGGCAGCGTTAATCAATTCAAGACTGAGAGTATGGTTGATCCAATGTGATCGGCATCAGCAACACCATGAATTTTTGTGAAGCTGAATGCCATTGATTATGTGATAGGTTTTAAAAATACCGAATGTTATTTATTCCCGATTTGGTAATTTTAACTCTTTTCTTCTTGAAGTTTTGTAAAGGCTAAGTAGTAACAAGGAAAAGTACTGATCCTACACCGTTTTTTTCCCCCAAATTATTATTATTACCATAAATTACTGCCAAAAGTGCTGAAACTGCAAGAAACTTCTAAAGCCACATCTGGCACCATCCATCATGGGATGAGGCTTTAATCAACCCCTATGGCCTGTGACCCATTTCACACAAATCCATTTTTCTGCTGAAAGACTAGAGTCCAAGCAACGTATGCATGGATCCTATCAGTGTGTTCTCTGTCGGCAGAAATATTATAGCAACCAATGGGACAAAGAAAAGCCCCCGGGCCAGCCAAAGCCAGCCTTGCGGTTTGAACAAGTCTGTCACAGAGAAGCAGGGAAGTCGGAACAACTGGCAACGGCCAGCCCAGCAGGACACCTGGCGTGAGACGGTGGGTAAAATCCAGGAGGAAGTCACCACTAGAAGAGGCCCGCGAAATCCGTGTGGATGGGGTGAGTCAAGACCTATGCAAATCCCACCAGTTCAACAGGCCTCCTCTGATTGGAACCCACTACTGGGTTTTCGCCAGTATTTTAAAGAAGACAGCAGTGAGAATATTTCAGGGCGCTTGCAAAAAAAAATTGTGAACCACTTTTTCCAGAAGAATTGTAACCCATGTCCATCATAACTTCCTCCGAAATATTCCAAGGTGAAGGTAGCCAAGGTCCCCTCTAAGCTGCACAGGCGCGCAGCACTGCGTCGGGTGCAAGCACCTGAGCGAGGGTTGCCACCTGTTTGCACCCGGAACCCTCTGTTCAAGGGGCAGAGCCCCCATGCAGTGCTCCAGAAAATTACAGGGAACGCTGAATAGAACTATAACTGGTTCTGCAACACAGAATCTGCACATACACCCCCTCTACCAAAGTACTCACCTGCCAGGAGCTTCTTCAGCAGCTTCTGGCTTTTATTGGAATCTCGCTGAAGGATGTCCTGCTCTTCTTTTGTACAAACCTAAAAGGATGACAAGCTCTTAAATTTCTCTTTCCGTGGAAGAAATGCAGACGCATGACATCAAGCGGGATGACTGATATGCAGCCAGATCTAAGGTGGGTTGAATCCTGCCGGCACAGGTGCCCAGCCCAATTAACTCCCATTCCCTGCCAGTTCACTTATTAAAGGGCACACAGCACATCTGGCTAGCATCATCGTCAGCGCACCCATTGCGGCACTAGCCCGGGCACACAGCACATCTGGCTAGCATCATCATCAGCGCACTAGCTCGGCTGCCACAGCCCCGCCTCCCTGCTCACCTGGCCACTTCGGCAAGGGAGCGGGATGACAGGTCTCCCAGCTCAGCTGCATAGTGGCCAGGGAGTAGGGAGGCAGGGCTGCAACGGCCAGGCTAGTGCTGCGATGGGCATGCTGGTGATAATCCCAGTCACGCGCACCATGCGCTGTGCAGTCAGTGAACCAACGGGTCCTCGGGGCGGGAGAGAATTCGTGAGCAGGGAGGCAGGGCTGCAACAGCCAGGCTAGTGCTGCGACGGGCATGCTGGCGATAATGCCAGTCACGCACACCATGCGCTGTGCAGTCAGTGAACCGGCGGGTCCTCGGGGTGGGAGAGAATTGAGCCAGCCACCTGTTAGTGAGGTCAGAGTTGTTAATAAATAAGCTGAAGGCAAAGACTGATTAACCACTCCTGCAACTGGGAAAAGCCAAAAGGCATTCTCAGGCACTACATGTATAAACAAACTGGCTGGTGCATACGTTTTGATTTCCTACACTGCTCAAAAACACTCAATTTTAAACCTATCATGTGCCCTGAGGAACACGGCAAGGACAGCCACAGTTAACTGCCCCAGGGAAGCTACTTCTCACTGTATTTCTTCCTGAAGTTTAACAGCAAGATATTAGGATCATAATAAGTACCTATCTGCAAACAAGGTCGATCAGCAAAAAAGGACACAGGGTCCCACAGAAGAAGTAAAGCCAGACTGCCATACCAGAGTCCCACAGAACAAGCAAGGTCCGGAGCCCTCCTGTTCACAGACGATGCGGCCACACGTCAGGCAGTTGTTGATAAGCCTGTGCTTCTGGGCTAGGCATTCGCAAGGATGGCGTCCAGGAAGCATGACTGCCAGCTTGTCCTGGCCCTCTTTTGTGTACAGGCTGACGTATTTTGCTTTCTTCTTGGCGGAAGAGCTGCTACTGTTTATCTCCTGGGCCTATTTTATAAAAGGGTGGGGGGACAGGAAGAAGGAAGAAGAAACAGGTTTCAGAGGGAAAAAATTAGAATAAGAATCTACTGCAGCCTTCCAGATATACTGGCTGGCTAATTTGGAACTTCTTTTTTTAACTCTGAAGCCATGGGTGGGGGGGGCGGCAGTGCACTGATGGTGGCATGTCTTGTATTACGTGATTTTATATAGGTGATATATTTTTGAAGAATCTACTGCAGCCTTCCAGATATACTAGCTGGCTAACTTGGAACTTCTTTTTTAACTTTGATGCCATAAGGGAGGCCAGCAGTGCATTGATGGTGGCATGTTTTGTATTATGTGATTTTATATAGGCGATATATTTTTGTCTTCCTGGTCCCTGACCATAATAAATAAAATAAACAATATACTGCTCTGCAATTCATCTCATGTATAGCTAGCCTGGGTTATAATCTGATCCAGCTTTGTGTGGCCTGTAATTCAGGAGAAAAATCAACAGAATTAGTTTCTGGGAGAAAAGTCTATTAAAAATGAAAACTCAGGAAGACATTGAGACAAAAGCCAAACAAAACAGCTGGACAGAAATAAATCAAGTTATTAAACGTTGGCCTTTTAAACTCCAGAACAGACACAACGTTAACTTTGATGTTTTGTTTTAGACACTTAAAAAATGCTACAAACAAACAGAACTCAGATTTGGGCTTCAGTTTTTCCTACTCAGTTCCTTAAAATCCACACCAGAAAGTGGCAAGAGCATTGGTACAGATGCTTGTTATTACATTGTTGTTATTACAACTACAATACTTGTTACATTCATATCCTGCCTTTTCTTCAAAAAGCTCAAACTAACACACGTGGCTCTCCCAACTATCCCCCTGCTGACCTGTCCACTCTCTCATCACAACAAAGTACAGTGGTGCCCCGCATAGCGAGGTTAATCCGTTCCAGATTAACCCTCGCTATGGAAAACATCGCTCAACGAAACGAAAAAACCCATTGAAACGCATTAAACTTGGTTTAATGCGTTCCAATGGGCCCCGAAACTCACCGTTAAGCGATGCTTCCCTATGGCCGGCAGCCATTTTCGCGCCCTCCCCTCGCTTAGCGAGGGCGCGAAAATGCTGTGCGCAGCCATTTCGGGGCTTCCGGCGGCCATTTTTGAGCCGCCCAACAGCTGATCCGCGGGTCGCAAAGCAAAGGTTGGTAAGCAAACCGCTTACTGACCTTTGCTATGCGATTTTCGGCCATAGAGGCTATCGCTTTGCAATCGCATTAGCGATCGCGAAAACATCCTCGCTATGCGGATTCGTCGTTCTATGGTGCGCTCACTAAGCGAGGCACCACTGTATGCAGGGCCCCCAGAATTATCGTGTTTGTAGAACAGGAAAAAACTGAACATTCCAACACTAGGTATTTGTTCATGTAAATAAGGAAACAGATTAAAACCTATGAACTTCAAAATAACTGTGGTTACACTAGCATAAAAAACTGTACTCCTTGTCAGTGTAAAAGCTTGCCATCAATAACCCTTTGTTTTGTTTCTGCTTCCACTCCTTTGCAACACAGACCACCCACAAAGTGCATCTGTCCCAAAAGTAGCCAAGAAATGCACTTACCTTGGCTAAGTCCAGTGGTGTTTTCACCTGTTCTGCAGGCTGTTCAGCTTCAACATAAACAGGTGCTTCCACTTTGTTTCTTCCTTTACGTCTTCCCCTCTTGGTTTGGTCTCCCAGGCGAGAAACCTCTAAAATATCTAAGTGTTTATATAAAGGGGGGGGGAGAGAAACAGTTTCCATCACAAGTCTCTTTTCCTCACTCCCTGTAACAGCTAAGTAAACATAAGTGGCAAAATCCTGTTGGTGTAACTTTGCACAGGGTAACTTGGATCAAGTGCTAAAAGCATTTAATTTAAGATAATGAAAAGCTTCCTATCACCTTCTATTTAGGTACCAAGGCTCCTTTTTGCCCTGGGGAAGCCTTTGGGAGCCTCGGGACAAGGGGAGGAAGCCTTTGATAGTAAAGAAAGAAACAAACAAACAAAACCCCGCACCACTGGATCACTGCTAGCAGCTGTGATCTTGCCTCTTGCCATAAAAGGCTTCCTCCCCACTTTACATCCTGAGACTCCCAAAGGCTTCCTCAGTGAGCGGTGAAAAGTTACACAACAGGATTTTGTCCAAAAAACAGTAGCACCTTGAAAATAAACATTCTCTCCAGTTACTGCTAGTACGTGCCGTTAGGACCAAAATAACTGATCAGATTGAGCCCTCCACAGAATGTTCTTCACTAAAAGAATATACTGAAATGAAGTGCTAGTTGAACAATTAAATGGATGGGTTTTTATTTGTGCCAGTGTAGTCTTCCTATAGGCATTTAGTTGCTCTTATGCAAACTGGAAAGCTGGATTGGGTAAGCTTTGATCTGAACCAACATAGCTCCAACCTTACCTGACTTCTACTTAATTATTCTTTTTTTTCTTTTGGTCCCCACTTACCATCTTTTTTCCGATGCAGCAGCAAAGGGTCAGAAGTTGGCTGATAGGTCTTTTGCCACCTGGCTATGAATTCATCTATGAAGCACTTCTTCTTGCCATCTGTGCCCTGGATTAGGTCAGTGACATATTCTCTAAACTCCTCCTGATCCTCAATAGACAATATATATCTAAAATGAAGAGAAAAGAAGGAGAATCTTGTAGATGTGCCTTCTTCAGATGATAAAACAACAGCAAATTCTTTGGCTCCTTGGTATTTAATTGGTCCAGAGCACTTTTGTGTAATGAGACTGCTATGGATGTAATGTAAAGAACAACCATAACAAAGCCAATGTCAAGAATTTGACATGGAAAGGATGTTTCTTGTTTTGTTAAGCACGAGTGATTATTAGTCTGGTAGTGCTTATAAAAGCCTCAGAAGAATTCTAAACAAAGGAAGCTCTGTCAATCCAAAAGAAAGATCCCAAAATGCAAGGTGACACTGTACTCACTACGCACAGATACTTCTGGCTCTTCTTTTAAAAATGCCCTGATAACACTGAGAATGTTGTTTTTAACTTAAATGTGCAGAAGATGTATCTAAAACCCACAGCATGTGATCTCTCCAAGGTTACATAGGGAGCATTTCCCATCTCACAAATTTAGCACCGTAAGGACTGCCAAAAGGAGACTCCTCTTGTTTGTTAACACTACAGAAATCATCAGTCCCACACATCATGTAAAGGATTATGGGCATTGTAGTCCAAGACTTCTGGAAAGCAAAGATTCCCTGCTCTTGGACAACAGTGCTATTTTTGCTGTCACAGACTAATAGGGCTACCCAATCCTAGGCTGGATAGTTTTTTGCATGTGATGAATTTCTTCTTGTGTATTGTACCGCTAGGATATCCAGTGGAGTGTAATGGATACAGTACAGTACCCGACTAGGTCTCTGGAGGCCTGGGTTCGAATCCTCGCTCAGCCATGGAAACTCACCAGGGTTTTGGAACTAGTAATACTACTCTTTAAATGTCTCCCTTGCCTTGAAAACCTTATCAGTCGATGCCAGGTAACAACAACATTGTACAGCTATTAAAGCATCTGAACCACGCAACGTACAGTATAGTAAAGTAAGGGAACTCAGCTGAACAGTACAAAGATCTTTAGAGTTAAAAAAACACTGCTAGGGCAAAAGAAGCCAAACAAAACAGGGGCAGATCTAACCAGCCTCTATGGTAACACCCACACACCCACAACACACACACACACTCCTCCCCCTCACCCCCCACTCCTTATTCCCTCGGCTCACTGGATGAGCTCCTCGCCGACATCCAGCCCGAAGCCGCCGCGCAGTTGCTCCGTGCACCACGACACCAGCTCCTGGTCCGCCGCCATCGCCATTTCGGCCCGAATCCGCCTCCACGACAAAGAGGGGGAAGGAAAATACGGCTGCACCTCCGCGACACGCCGGCCGAGCCTCAGCGTAACACGCAAAGAGCTCCGGCCCCGCAAGGGCTGCGCCTTAAGAGTTCCGCGCGTAGCCGGTATGCGGGGCGTGCTTTCATTCACAACTTTGGCCAAGAGGGAACCCCCCCCCCCTTTTTTCCTTTTTACAGTTAAGAGACTGAAGAAAACAAGACTCCTTTTAAAGAGCATCGAAAGATCCAGGGGAGCCCAGAAGGAATACTCGGGGACGGGTTGCCAGAGAGATCTGGGTTCTAATTCCGACCCAGCCATTACATTTCCAGGGGGAACTTCGGGGGCAGCTTTCTCCAGCCTATTTTGCTTTACAGGGTTGGCATTCAGGGTTGGACGGCAGTGGGACTGAAAAGGCTCAGATGCTGAGATGTATTCTTTTGTAAACATGCTGTGCTTGCCTGCAGGAAACCTGCTGCATCTTCTGTTGGAGTCTTGTGATAAAGCGGCCCCATGTCCTCTTTTTTATTATTATTATTACAGATAACAGGCGCCCATTTCAGGGGCTCTCCGAAGACAGACCTGAATGTGAACATAACCCGCTCCAGTCCAAATACAGTTTAAAGATGAAAATCAGGAGGAAGATCAAAGTTGCCCAATGCTCATAGAATCACTGCCTTTCCACTGGAGTAAGATGCGCTGGAATTTGGTTTGTGCTGTAAAAATAAATTGTAATTTTCCATTTGCGCATAGAAATAATCGTAGGCAATTATATGCAGCTCAGTGTCCTCCATCCTGATTTTAGTGATGTATGCCTCCCTTTTTGGAGGCATACATCACTCCTTTTTGCCACCCATGGGAAACAATGCTATGGTCTTTGGGTATGGCAGTCTTCGGGATATGCAGTGAACATTTATGATTGTGTACCCTTGTCCACGTTTGTTGGCACCATTTTGCTAGGATTTTGACAGGTTGAAATAATTCTGTTGGTATTCCATGACCTACTTTCTCAGTGTTGTAAGAGCAGCTTTCACATTACTTTCTAAGACAGTACAGTAGGTTCTTCTTTGAGGGAATGTGTCACTCTTTCTTCTTTTCTGTGCAGTTCTTCAGGATGTTATTTCCATCTTCTCTTTATTCTATCCTGACCAGATAATCCATTTCCCCCGTTGACCTTTAAGCACCTCTAATTTGGCTTTAAATTTCCTTTTGATTCCTTTAGCTTTATGCATGACATCTTGTTTTGTTTGCTTTTGTTTTTCTCTTCTGTTTCTTTGCAATTATCATTTTAATAGTTCTCCTTGCTGCTACATGAAAATTGGTGGAAAGTTCCATTTCAGACTCTGATCCTGTTTCCATCACCTGCTGTCACTTCTCATCTGTTACTAACAATTTTAACAATTTCATCAGTCATCCACTGTTTTGTCCTGGATTACCCGGCCAAAAGCCTACTATCGGATTCTGTCTCTTGATGGCATTGCTCTCACTTTCCCTGTCACACTCAGATCCCCATACCGTGTTAAGCCTTGCACGATGGGAGTGGGGTAGAGTGGGAATAGGCACATGATTCTTTAAAATATATTCATAGATTAACCTGTAGTCAGAGGGAGGTGAAAGCTGAGCAAGACAAAGATGTAGGCAGGGGAAAGGAAGTTAGAAGTGTGGTAAGAGTAAAAAAAAAATTAATAATGGAATAGATGGAAGGGACTACAAAGAATTAGACTATAAGAGAAGAGAGAAAACAAAATGATCAGGGGTATATGCACATGGAAGAAAAAGACAAAACCCTACATGTTCCTACCTTCATTCTGGTTCATCTGTTCCAGAGGCTGAAAAAAACAGCAAATTAGCAGTTCTCTGGAAGGCAGACAATGCCTTGTAATGGTTTGCATTACAAAGCAACCACTTATCTGAAAGCAGCTGGACTGGCCTTGGAAGCTACAGAGCCCTGGTAGTGGGTTGTGGGGAAGGGGGAGGTGACTGCTCTTGTTTCCACCTCAGTTTTACAATCTTCAAGCATTCTGCTTCCTCCTCTTGGGAAAACAACTACTTTTATCTCTTGGATAGATTACAAGTATTTGGTTGAGTCACGATTTGGGAGTGTATATCAAGTTTGCCCATTTTTTTAAAAAAAGGATTATTGTTATATCCCAACTGGTGCGGTTCAAAAAGACAAAGACGATTGTTACATCCCTGGCGTATTTTGTTCAAAAAGGCAAAAAGCAACGATGGACTTAAAATTAGCAACCAGAGTCTTATGACTTATATAGGCTGGCAAAAGTGCAATGGCATAAGCCGCAGTCGTAAGTGACCTCTAGTTAAGTAGTCAGTGCCTGTACATCTCATCACACACCTGTCATATGAGTTGGCACACAAGGAGGAATACAAGCATTAACCTAACTAGTGGCAATCCATTGCTGCCTTTGAATTTATTGCACTCGCACCAGGATCTCTAAGAGAAAGGATTCCTTCCATGGAACAAATCCTCTTCTTGTGGATTCAGGAAATTATATTAGCGAGAACAAAAAGCAAAAGAATCAGAAGCGTGTAAAAGTAAATCTGTTTCCTCCCCCTTCTCGTACAACCCTCTTGGAGCTTCACCCTTATTCCCACATTCTAACTGACTACAGTTTATTTGCACTGACAACTCTGTTTGAAGTAAAAATCAGTTCTGCATCTATTAATGGCCAAGTTCAGAAAGCTTTGTAATATCAGACTGGCACTATTGCATAATACTGTATAACTCTTTGTAGGTTGCCTTCAGCAGGAATCAACACTAACAGTTCCAAGGCTTTTTTAAAAATCAGGATCTGTACACTGGTAAGATAGCAAGGCCTCCATTGACTGTAGGGAGGATTCAACCTTCCTCCACTTCCTTCATGCCATTCCATTGTTTATGAGTCTGACTGAACCGGGCCCACAGATCTATCAGGCTCCCTTTCTGTCCCAAGGCCAGCATGCATTCATGCTGCCATGCACAGTGGTGGGGGAAAAAAACTCTATATTTTGGCTACCCAATAATAATAATACCTTGTTTCCCTGAAAATAAGACCTAACCTGAAAATAAGCCCTAGTATGATTTTTCAGGATGCTCGTAATGTAAGCCCTACCCCCAAAATAAGCCCCAGTTAAGTGAAACCCCGCCTTCCACCATTGTGCAGCAACCAGAAAAAGATGACATGACTATATTTGAATAAATGTATATTGTTGTACACGGAAAAAAATCCCCTGAAAATAAGCCCTAATGCGTTTTTGGAAGCAAAAAATTAATATAAAATCCGGGGTGCTACAGGCCCTGGGATTGAATCTGGCCCTTCTGAAGCTAAATTTTGTCGTCTGGGGTTCTCCCATCATAGCACTGTCACTTGGTGATCTCCCAACTTTTTTCCTTATTTGCTTTCATTCAAAAAGGTAGACATTCCTCTTCTAATACTTACTGGCAGTAAGAGCTTAAAGCTAAAATACGCTGATATTTTCTGTTTTGACCTTACCGACCAAAAAAATTTCAATAATTTTTAGGAAGTTAAATTCAGGCCTTGGGCTTAAATACGTTTCATTCCTTTAAATTAATGGTACATAAGGACATGTTTTGGAACCAGTACTTTTTAGCTTTTTGATTCATGATCTGGATTTAGGGCCATGTAGTGGAGCCCAGTTAATTGTACTGTATAGCGTTTAGTCAATGGGAGGAGGGCAGACAACACACTCTTCAACCAAAAGATTACATTATCCCTTAAAACAATTTAAAGCTGTTTGCCTAATACAATATAGATCAGCACAAATGACGTAATCACTGGGATACTGTATTTTCTTTTGTCTGTTCTGAACCAAATTTGCTAGACATTAATAAGAGGTAGGAATTTGTAAATATTTCAAAGTACAGAAATACAGATAGTCCCTAATTTGACTGTGAATTATAGTATTTCAGTAATCAGATTAAAAATACATTTATTTGCATTATGTTCTCATAACTTTATCTTACCATGTGTTCAGATATCCCTCCCACTTTTCTTTGCAACACACAGTCAGTGTGATCCAAAGAAACTAAGTATTTTGGCTAGATAAGTTCATTATACAATCAAGTAAATTACAACAATAATTCTTGCAAATGTGCTGCTATAATGACATTTTGGAAAATGGAATTAAAGTGGTTGAAAACAAATTGTCTTAACAGTGTGATATCTGCTCTGACTGCAAAGCAATCAGACTTAAACCACTTTAGGCTCATTGGCCTGACTGGCATTACAGTAAATTGGTTTTACATCCAATTAGTTCAGCTGTATTTGGTTTTGAATTGCACTGTTAATCTTTCTATATACCTAATGGCCAGCATTTAGCACCTGAGAGAGAAGAGGCATTCAGTGCCTATCAGGGAGACTTAAAACAACAAAGAGACCTGCTGGCACTTTAAAGACAAGCATATTCATTACAGCATTACCTTTCACTAACAGATTAAAGATATGCTATTTAGAATTGTGAATTCCCAGTGTAATTGATAGAGTGACAGACTAGGACTCTGGAGAACAGAGTTCCACTCCCCACTTGGCCGTGGAAACTCACTGGGGGAGTGGAACTGCTAAAACTGCTCCTTAAATATCTTGAAAGCCCTATTAGGCTCTGGTTTCAACTTGACAGAACGGAACACACACATACACATCTAGAATTGTGGTTGGGGTAGTGAATAATGAGATAGAAGGGAAGAAGAATACAGAGAGTACTGATAGTGACAATTATATTATTTGCATTGCCCATTCACAACGTTGTTGCTGATAACACAAACATTCTGGAACTAAACAAGCCAATTAACATGATTAGTGTGATAAGAAACCTTTACTCCAGCCTTTGGTAAATTAACTCAGCTTCCAAGGAAATGTAACTCAGTAATCTCTAGCTCTGGCTAGAGATGTTTTATTTTTCTTTCCTCTCCAAGTTGACTTAAAGGTGAGTGACAGAGTTTGTGGCAGGTTTGTGAGGATTTGTTTTCTTGTGCAGAAATGGGTCTGTTTCTTCTATGTAAACTGCAAAAGGACATTGCTGACAAAGATACCTTATAAGGTTTTAAACTGGGAAATACTTCTAACATACTTACAGTATTTGCTTTATTAACATCCCTATTTTCCTCACCAACACTTAAGGTGGAATAATTCTTCCTTCGTGAAGGCTGGTCCATTGAAACAAATAGCTCAGTTACTCCTAGCCAGCCTCCCTCTGCCCCCCCCCTTTAATCTGTAAGTTAATTATTGCTTCCTTGCTTCTGTGTTTGAAAGAGAGACATAAGGCCGGTATGGAGATAACATGATTGCCCACATACCTATGAATACCTGCTTGAGCCAAAAGCTCCTGGCCAACAGACTTGGCTAAGTGTTTGGTTTAGATGTAAGTTAGGAAAGATGCAGGCTGCATTTGAGTTGTGGCTTTAAGGTTACCGCTGAAGAAGCTGTTGGTTGGACATCACACCACAGTTCTTCGAACAAAGAAGTGCAGGCATTATGCATAGACCTTCCTATCTGGCCTTTCTGTGAAACTCCAAGCGTGACCAATGTATAGCACCACCTGAGGAAAGTTCAGTTTGCTTCTCCCACCTCTTAAAGGCCTTATTCAGGATGGTTGATTGTACCATGTTTATTGAGAACCTGACTGCCATATTTTCTGTAGAGTGATAGGAGTGCATCTGTTGGTAAGAGTGTAAGCTAAGTCCCCTCTATTAAGGCTTCTAACATGAGTCCTTACTCTTCTACTAGAGCAGTGGTTCCCAACCTTGATCCCCAGATGTTATTGACTACAGCTCCCAGAAACTTGGGAGTTTTAGTCCGAAAATATCTGGGGACCCAAGGTTGGGAACCACTATACTAGGGTGTATTTTGCTTGTTATACGTCCTGGAGTTTTCTTTTACAGTATATATAAACATATAGCATCAAACATGACACTTTGTGGAAATTCAGTCTGAAGCTTAAACATAGCTAAAATGTAGTGACTCTTCCCAACAACTCTCATGAGAATGCAATCATTCTCCCATCATAAATTTAATTAACACCAACTATGGTAGTGAGAGGAGCTATTGCCTTTATGATATGCAGAGCGAAACGCTAGAGTAAGAATTAGTTTGGTGTTACTCCTCAGAAATGCTGCTGTGTAAGAATTAATAGCTTAAAAAAACACGGAAGTTATGGTGTAACTGCAAGAACAATCAGCAAATGCACACTATGGGAATCATGTACTGTACTGTATCTTCAAGAGCAACTAACATGTTAAAAAAGATGAACCACCAAACCTGAGGATGGGTGCTGAAAAAGCTGCACACTTTCTATAGCAATTTGTGTGGGCCCAAGTTGTTGTCTGTGAGGAATGATAAGCCATATGGGACATGTAGTCATACAAAGATGGAGTCTCTGCGTAGTTTGGATTTAAATCACTGAATGGTTCATGGGATTGTTGTTCCAAGTTTGCTCTGCTTGGCACCAAGGAGCAAGGTTTGAGAAGACCAAGAGGAAGACCAAACACCACATTCCTCCTAATTGGGATGATATAAGCCACCTACGGATCTCATGTGAAATATGGGGGGGGGCACCTAGGGGTTGTAGTGGAAAGTGTGGGGGGGGGGTATGTGAACTGTATTACGCCCTCATAATCCTAATTAGTTAACAGTTTGAAAGTGTCAGAAAGAAGGTGGTCTGAAGACAAGTAGAAAAATTGTTGTTAATGTATGTGAAAGGAAGTTATTTGTTTTGGGAAAAGAGAGGGAGAAGAGGTTTGCCCAGCTTTAGTGAGTTGTAGAATGCTAGTCAAGATGATTAATTAGCCTAGTTTAGATGTTATGATTTTAACCTAAGATTAGTAAGCTTATTAGAATCATAGTAACTGAGTGGATAATAGTAACTTCACTCCGGGAAGCAGTGGAAGACAGGAGGGCCTGACATGCTCTCGTCCATGGGGTCACGAAGAGTCGGACATGACTAAAATAACTGACTGGATATGTATATGCTTTATGCTTTTAAAGCTGCAACTGTAATGGAACTATCTTATTTTCTTAATAAAACAATTAGAATTATAACACAAGGCTTGTCTCTTGAACAGCAGGATTGCACCTAAATCCAGTGGAGATTGGAAAGGTCACTCATTGCTCCTCTAACAGAGAGGTCCTACCTGGTCTGTCTGTTGTGCTGCCTAAGGAAGCACACAACCAGTGTTTTATTGCCTTGTAAGCAGGCAAAGAGACTTTATTTCAGGTTGAGCTTGTCCACTGGGCAAGGGGCCACGCACTTCTGAGATAGTGACTCCTCACCATAGAGACATTCTCTTTAGGAAGAAGTGATTCTGACATTGTCCAACGTGTGTGTTTATGTGTAGTGATTCTGACATCGTTCAAAAACTCTGTGTGTGTGTGTGTGTGTGTGTGTTGGGGGGAGGGACACTTCCAGCTTGGCTTTGTCTTTCTTTTCAGGAGGGCCGGCCCTGCCATTGGATTGAGTGAGGCAGCTGCTTCAGGCAGCCCATTTTGGACGTGAGAAGTGTACCCAATTGCCACCCAATGTTCAAGTTGAAGCTTTTTTCTTGGCGCTCTCAGAAATGTGACGTTTTCCCACCTCAAGTGCCCCAATAAGCCAAGCTCTGCCTTCTAGATATGCTTAAAAGGAAACCCGTTGGGAGAACCGCCGTTGCCATTTGCCTCAGGGAGCAACCGCGGGTGCGCTGAGGCCAATTCAGCCTGAAGCTTAAAACAGAGGGAAACTCAGAAATGTATTTTCAGTCCTTATGACCAAGGACACACTCGTGAAGGAGAACGTATTAATTATTTCGACAAGCGCAACGAAAGGAAACCAAGTCCCCCCCCTCCCCCTCAGCGCGTCAGGACTGGGAGCTGAGGAGCCGCGCTTCTCTAACGGCCTTCTCAAACCGCCGCCCGCCTGCGATTGGCCAATCCGGCACCCC